GTGGATAATTTCCCAGCTTTCCAGCTGGGCAGTTCACCAAGAACAAACCCAGACATCAAGGCCAGACCAAAAAAATCTTCTTGTTTTAGACAGAAGACTCCTACATCTGGGGGATTTAATGCACCCACTGTCCGTTCAGTGCATTTCCTGTGTCCGGAGCTTCTCTGCCTGCCGGCTCTGGTCTCATAAGTTTCCATGCCCTGCTGCCAACTTATAATAACAGAGGCAGCAGGCAGCAGGGTAAGCACGTCATAGCCGTCTCCATCCGTGGGCGCGTGCTTTGCAAACTCAAACAAAAGCTTGGAAGGTTTCATTGCAGGCCTTTCAGCCTTGACAGTGGTTGTGCCCAGACCACCAGAAGCCTGGAATTAAATACCTGTGGATCCAGTTCTCTACCATTAATGTTATCAACTTCATCAAGTACTTCCTCTTTGAGTGGTGTCTGCAAAGAAATAAATAAATCAAGCTCCTCCAAGTCCTGTTTCTGCCCGGATCCTGAGTCAAAAGTAAAATCTGAGTTGATTATCCAGAGCACTGTCTCCCTCCTTCATTGTTCCCAACGAGCTGGGCAGGAACCGAGAGTGAAATCTCCCCAGGACATTACATCAGTTCCTCTTCTACCCTTGGCATGAAAGTTCTTCCTCTATAGTCCTCCCAGACTTCCTAAGGCTTGCCCTGAGTGCATACCCATACACTGAGCCTTGAAGACAGGACTTCAAAGAAAGGCTGCAGGTAACCAGACTGCTGGCCAACGCCTGTGTCCATTTTAAAAGTTACAAGACAGGAAATGGATTCAGGAAATCTGATTTTCAATACATGGTCTTCATCATCCCTGAGTATTTTTAAACCTTAATAAGCTTTTAAGGAAAGGGAGACATTCTGTCAATGTCATTTAGAAGAAAATATATGAAACTTCAACATGCAAATGTCTTAAATAGTTGCTTACAGCGATCATATTATGTAACAAATAAAAAGTGAACCACGGACAAAAGATAAACCCATTTCTGTGGAGAGCAGAATTAAGATCCATATTAGCTATGAAAAGAAAACTTGCCTCATCCTCCAAACATTGTAGATCATTTCTTTCATACTAATAATCTCAGCCATGAAATTTGACTCCATGGGCCCTGTAAACTTTTGTTTGCATTTGGGTTCAAGTGAGAAAGTTAGTACTTGTCATCCCAACCTGTATTCTTTCAAGGTTGATTAAGCACTTAAAAAACAACAACTTTTTATAGTGTAAAATATTAAACTGATACAGAACTAAAGAGAATTATATAATGAGCCACTGTGTACCCATCACCAGCTTCAATGAGCAGTTATGGCCAGTCTTGTTTCCGCTGTGCCCCACCTACTCTCTGCTTCACCAGCCCAGATTATTGTGAAGCAAATCCTAGACATGTAATTCCATTTGTAAATGTATCAGTATGGGTCTGAAAAGATGAGGGAGGACCTTTATAAAATTATAATCACAGAGCTGTCACATCACCTGAAAACTAATAGTTCTTCAATATCATCAAACATCCTATTAATAGTCCCATTTTCCCAACTATCTCATAAATGTTTTTACAGTTTGTTTGAATCAGAATGCAAGCAAGGGTCTATACATTGCAAATGGTTGATGTGTCCCTTAAATCTCTTTCAATCTATAGGCCTCCATCCTTATCTTTCTTGTGCATGTATCTCCTCTTTCTCTGTCTCACTCTCTCTCTCTCTTTCTCTCTCTCTCTCTCTCTCTCTCTCTCTCTCTCTCT